AGAATTTATTATTGTTATTATTTATGGGGCTTAAATAGGTTTCTAAGCAGTTTACAAAATATAGAAAGCAATTACTCTGTATTGTTAAAATGCACCCGAAATGAAACACACAATAAAACAAATTAATTAAAACATTAGTTAAGATGTGCAATAAAATAATTCCATTAAAATATAGCAATGGAAACAAGAGTCTCAGTTCAAGAGTTGAAGGGAATGCCTGAGTGAACAGGTGTGTCTTCAAGAGTTGCAGGAATGCTAATACAGATGTAAAGGTAAAGGTACCCCTGACCGTTAGGTCCAGTCGCGGACGACTCTGGGGTTGCGGCGCTCATCTCGCTCTATAGGCCGAGGGAGCCGGCGTTTGTCCGCAGACAGCTTCTGGGTCATGTGGCCAGCATGACTAAGCAGTTTCTGGCGAACCAGAGCAGTGCACGGAAACGCTGTTTACCTTCCCTCTGGAGTGGTACCTATTTATCTACTTGCACTTTGGCATGCTTTCGAACTTCTACGTGGGCAGAAGCTGGGACTGAACAACGGGAGCTCACCCCGTCGCGGGGATTCGAACTGCTGACCTTCTGATTGGCAAGCCCTAGGCTCAGTGGTTAAGACCACAGTACCACCCGCTTCCCTACAATACAAATGAGGCCTCTCATATTTCAGCAGGGCGTGCATTCGACAGCTCTGGTGCCACCAGTGATAAAGTCTTCCTTGGCTTCGCCAGAAGCTGATTGTCAACAGGCTATGGTAGGACTACCATGTAGATATCCATTTGTAGATATTTGCAGATCCTAATACCCTTATTGGGCAACAGAAGTAATCTGGTGCAGATTACCAGATTCAGGTAATCTGATGCAGAGTTGTTTAGGGCTATATGTAAGTAACAAGACCTTAAAAGTTAGTATGCAAGCTCACCTGCACACTAGAGAACTGGGTCGCCTGTATATAAGGAAATAGATAATTTATTCACATTGGCAATAGGAGCAGCAGACTCGACACCATTTCATAAGGTTGTAACTTCATTAATATAACAATTAAAAGGAGATCCAAATGCAGACCTGTTTTACTCCCCTGAAAGTTGGAATTAACATTGTTGTTTGACCTGTTGGGGGTTGTTGGAAGTGGTAACATGCTTGGAAAATTAATGACCACCGAACTGAACAAGTCATATCTGGGGAATGCATTTTCTAAAACTGGAAACTGGAGGGATAATTTACAATCAATTAGACTGAAGCAAAGCAAGCAGCAAATGGGTTACTTAAGCTTTCGGCATAAACAAGATTTCCTCGTATTTTTGAACTAAAAAACAATAAAGCTACACTTGTACCTGCGGATTTGGTTTGGTGCTGAAATGTGGTGATATAAGGATGGTAGAGAACTGAAAAGGCTTCATAACAAAACGCTTAGATTTATTTTGGGTACCTTATATATACTATATTTTATTCTTCTTTGGTCTACAATAAGTGTCTTTGCAGTTAAGAGTTCACATTTTCAACTATTGGATTAAAATCGAATGTAAGGAAGAAATCAGGCAGTCCAAATTGTGTTTGTAGGAGCAAATAGCTAAGGGGTTATCATTAAAGGACACCTAGTCCTTTAAAATGGAGCAGTTAATTCAATCTTATGGCTTTCTGTTAGTTTGGTTTAATGGAAGTAAACCATATGGGGATAAGGCTTAATTCAAATTAGGCTAAATGACATTGTTGTAGAATCTGACTTAGCCAAGCTTTCTATGGTGAGGTCAGTTCTATTTAAATTTTCCCATGGGTTTGAACGCTACTTATAAAATCATTTTTAAGCACACCTTTAGGAGATTTTAAACTTTTTTTTTTTATTTCCAGCAAATCACTATCCCTGTCTTAAAGGACCACTATGGGGAGCAGGGAGGAATCTTTCACCATGAAACACTCCATTTCCAGACAAGATTCAGTGGAAGAGTTGCAGGGTCTTAGTTGCCATGTGCTGGGATGGATAAATCTGTCCATTTTGGTTTCTCTCTGATTTTTATTATTCTAATATTAAATTCTCTACATTTCCACATCATTTTGCAATTTTTTTTAGCGTCCCTATGAAAATGAAAAAAAAAAAAAAATCAGCCTATGTTTGTGGGTTGCTTTTTATGGTCCAATTGTTATGACCATACTCTGGGACTCTGGTATTAATTCCCAGAATACATGGATTAGGTCCTAGAGAATGAGATTGGATATTCTGGTACTCATACATGTTCAAATCCTATTTTTAAGCAGATGCTCAAAGCAAAACCCATTTATAATGCCCCATATCATATTGGTGTATGTGTACAGTGCCTCACTTGTAAATTCTAATCTTCTTTGGCAACCCCAGTGTCAAAAATGAGCCTTTCAGCAATTGCCATGGCCCCCCAGCACTTTGGTAGGGTGCACTTGCAGTCACATGTGGGTGTACCAAACAGGAGCAGTGGGCAGCCATTTAACATTCCCCACAATGGCCAGGGAAATTTAAAATAGTGACATCCTGGCAGCCCCCCATTTCCACTAAGTAAGCACAGTTCAAAGAGGGCAGCGAGAAAGCAGGAGTCCTTTCAGGCAGCACTTTGTCAATAGTCATGCTGAATGAAAATGTAAGTTAGCAGTTAAGGGTATTTGCTAAATCCAAGTAGGTAGGTACCCCAGATCTAGAAGTCTTCCAATGTCAGCTGGTAGACATTAGATCTAGCATATCTAGCAGCTCAGATTTGGCACAGTTGCCGGGGTGGAGCTACCTGCCCCGGCACTCGGAGCGGTGCAGGGGCGGGGCTAGCCGGCCTGCGGGGGTTTGGCTAGCTGCCCGCACAGCGAGCGTCCTTAGCTGCCCGCCTCCCGTGCGGTGAGAGTGGGGAGCGCTGCTAGCCGCCCGCACAGCGAGTATCCCTAGCCGACTGCTGCGAGCATCGGGGGCGCCACTTGCCGCCTGTGCGGGGAGCTTCCTTAGCTGCCTGCTGCCTGCACGGTGAGCGTCAGGAGGGGCACCGCTAGCCACCCATGGCAGCATTGTCCCTAGCAGCCTCCCACCCACAGAGTGAGCATCCCGGGACACCGCCCACACAGCAAGCAGGGCAGCAGCACGCCGATGTCACCTGCCCTCACGGCACACCACACCCCCGCACCCGCCTTCGTCCGCCAGCGACAGCTGTATTAATTAATAAGCAAACCAGCTTGCAGAAATCTGCAGGAGACAGAGTTGGGTCCTCCAGGAATGGGAGACAAATTCAGTTCACATATAAAGGGAAACCTATCCAATTTGCACTTTCTGAATCAATATGCAAACCAAAATACAGACATCCTTCAGAATTCCCACTCCTCCGAACTTTTCAGTGCCATTCTACATCCAAGTAACATGTACAAAAATGCAGATACCAGAGTGTGCATAATGATGCAGATGTTAATGAAAGTAGCATACAAAACATGCTTTATATTAGGGGAAATGGTAAGATTGGGCATATTCGGCAAAATTACACACAAAATTGTGCTTATTGGGAGAATTCCGGGTGAAAATGCTGGTGAATTTTCATGAAGACTTTATTTTTCAAACTAACAAACAAACACCTGCAAACTGATGTAGAAATGTGGAGAACTAAAGGTAAAATTAGAAACTGAGAGAAACTGAAATTTACAGATTTATCCATCTTAAGTCCTCAGTCCTTTTCATGCCTCTGAAAAACTGGGCTGTGCATATGAGTAGTAGCATTGCTTAGGAAGCTGGGATAATGGTGAAACTGGTCAAATAAAGGCAGAATCTGAAAATTATAGTTGGAGTATACAGATTAGCCATACAATTAGATGATTTTCCTCGAAAGTGGGAGTGCTAGCAGGGATAGCAATACTGTAGTGGCACAGCAAAGGCTTGTCAGGATTAATTCTTTTATTTCCCATTCTGTCATGTCATGAGGCAAGGGTTTTTGCTGGACAAGACGAACAATTAGATTGCTTCCAGTTTCTCTGATTTATTGTTTACAAAGCACATTCTGAGTTAACAGATCAATTTTTGGAGAAAAGCATAAACCTCACTTCTGGGATATTCCCTTACTTTGCAATCCTGCAGTAGTTTTGCAATGGCACAATTCAGCTTCAATTGACGGTATTCTCTCTCCCAAGTCATGCTAGCCTACATGAGGTCAGGGTTTTGCAGGATCTTACACCTTGTTCAATTTACAGGTCCCCGGGGACCATGCACTATGGTTGTATTCAGATGCAACGTTCTATGATCCTCCAAACCATAGTCTGGAGAACAGGGAACACATTGTGTGCACATGCACTTACTTCTCTAATCCTGCTTCTCCTCCCAACACTTTTGGTATAATGGAACAGTTCCTGCTTTGTAGTAGTAGTAGTAATAATAATAATAATAATAATTTATTTGTACCCCACCCATCTGGCTGGGTTTCCACAGCCACTCTGGGCGGCTTCCAACAAAGATTTAAAATACATTGTAAGACGAGTAGGTAGCCTGAAGATCAGGAAAGAGGGATTTTAATTCCATTCCTCCTATGGACTTTCTCCAGTGTAAATTACCTCCTCTACCATTAAAAAAAGAAAAGTCCAGCCCACTAATATAAGATCTCAGCATAAAAATACAGGAACAGCATTTACAGTGGTACCTCGGTTTACAAACTTAAATCCGTTCCAGAAGTCCATTCTTAAACTGAAACCGTTCTTAAACCAAGGCGCGCTTTCCCTAACGAGGCCTTCCGCTGCCGGTGCCCCTCCACCATTCGGATTCCGTTACTAGACCGAGGCAAAGTTGTGATTCAAGGACCCAACACCCGCTTGAGGATAAGAAAGACACATGGACACGGTATATTAGGTTAAACAGTTCTTAAACAGGACTGCTCTTAAACCGAGGTACCACTGTATTAAACTCCCTCTCTCAGGACACCACTTCCCCAGTTCTCCTACAAGAAGCTGTTCTGGGGCTCCTAGTTAAGTATACAAAAAGTTGGTGGGCGTCCTGTGCACAGATATTCCACATCTCATTCCACTGCAAGATAGTGCAGCTATAGAGTGAAGACCCATCAATCAGGCTGTGAATGAGAAATGAAAAGAGGTTTTTCCAGATGTCCACTACTGAATACTAAAAGTAAATCTGTTTTAGTATTAGTGCAGGAAGGAGGGGAACAGATATAGTTATCCTGCCACGCTCAGTGGCATGGTACTCCTGGGATCAGAGAGAGATATGTATTGCTTTGTTCCTTTAATGAAAAATTCAAGTAATAAAACTACCCCCCCACCACTTACTGTTCTTGGGGTGGGGAAAAATCCTAGAGTTAAAGGCATTAACTGTATTTCAAATTTCACATTATTATTATTACACATTAGCAATTATTTCAAATGATCATTGTATACATAAAGTGCTGAAATGATGTATTTAGTGTTTCCTCTGTAAGTGTAATTAAGGTTTTATGCGCGTGATGATATCAATGCTGAACTATAAATTTTATTTCATGCTTTTACAGATGGAGGAGTCCATTGTCCTTGGGGTACATGTGTAATTGTCATTAATTCCAACAACAGGAGTATAAATCTCCCTCATTTCTTCTGTGTGCATAGATTAGAAAGTATCTCTCGCAATATGGAATTCCAGAACTACACTTTGCTGGGAAGCCCTGTATAAAGATTAGGTAGAGATGTTGTCTGACTTTTTAACCATCTTGGTGAAATCTATTAGAGGTTCCAGAATGATTTCTTATGTCAGAGGGAATGCAGTTATTCAAAATGGCTGCTTTATCTGACCTAAAAGACTGTTGACAAATGGGCCTAATACTGACATTGTGAAATTGTGCCTCCAGTAATATCAACTTTGGGACTACTTAGTGTGAATGTATTTTTCCAATGTTCTGAACCTAACTGATGGCAACGTTTGGGGTTCACAAAGGTTTTATATCTAGGGGAGGAAAAGAGTTCAGTTATATTGCCTTCCTGTGCAGCTTGTTGGGATGGTTCACTAACTTGAGCCATGTGGCACTCTAAGCTCTGATTTCACTTCTCTAGTTATCGTGAGATGCGTTGACGTTTCCATTTTGTGCAGCTTGACTTCTGGCTGCCCAGTGAATGCTTACTTTTACCATCTGAGAGAGAGTTGGACCAGAGAGTCAGGGCGGACTAGTGGTTAGAACATTGCACTTCAGCTTGAGAGAACTGGGTTCAAATCCCCATTTATTTATTTATATATTTAAACATGTATGGATTTCTGGTGCCTGCACACCACTCAGGGTGACTAACAACAATTAACCAATATTGAAACACCATAAAAGGAAGGGGCTAACCACACCTCATTGGCTGCAGAATGTCCTTTTTCTAGTCTTCCTCAGCCAAGCTTCCAACATAACTGGGGCATAGAGATGAGGGTGCCCCTAACTGATCCTTGACCTAAGCTATCTAAGGTGTTAAATGCCATCTCCAACATTTTGTATTGTGTCTGGAAACTTAACTAGTGCAGCTCTTGCAGGGCAGGTACAGCCTTGGCCACTCACAAAATTTCAGAGTACCCTATCTCACAGGGTGGATAAGATAATATCCACCTATAAGTACAGCATTTTGATGTCTTAGTAGAAGGATGGAATGAATGAATGAATAGCTCCCTGCCAACTCTATGGCCATCTTGTGTTGTTTAATCCCTTCCACTAGGGGGCAGTAGCATGCAGCATACTTTTCAGGTCCAAAGTTGGTTGCATATTACAATTAGTACTAACGTTCTGCCTCAGAGTTTACTTGTGCAGAAATATCCGCTATCATGAGCAATCTAGAAGTGTAACATTGTAGAATTACTCATGGAAAATTGAGTGGTTATTCAGACACACGCATGTGCGCACGCGCGCACACACACACAATGTTTATTGACCCTGCCTTGCACGCGGAAGTAAATACTGCAATTTACAGTGATTCATACAGTGGTACCTCTGGTTATGAACTTAATTCGTTCCGGAGGTCCGTTCTTAAGTTGAAACGGTTCTTATCCTGAAGCGCGCTTTCGCTAATGTCGCCTCCCACTGTGCGTGCACGCCTCTGGCGTGGAGCTTCCGCTCACATCCCAGAGCAAAGTTCACAACCGGGAGCAACTAGCGTAGCTCGTAACCCAAAGTGTGCGTAACCAGAAGCGTTCGTAACCAGAGGTACCACTGTACATTGGTAACCTCAAGGCTGGAGTGCTACAATGCACTCTGTATGGGCCTGCCTTGGAGGCTGGCCTGGAAGCTACAGGTGGTACAAAACAAGGTAGCACAGTTGTTGTGTGGGGTAGCCTGCCAGGAACACTTCCCACCTGTACTGAGATGACTTCACTATCTGCCTGTTGGCTGCTGAGCCAGATATGAGGTTCTTGTATTGACATAGAAAGCTCTCAGCAGCTTAGGGCCTAGCTGCTTGGCAGAGTGCCTGCTCCCTTATAGAGCTGCCTATTATTTTATATCTTTTGGCGGTGCCACATCTTCCCGTGGCAATGTGGGAGAGAGCTTTCTCAGCTAAAGTGCTGCAAGTTTAGAATTTCCTCCCCTCTCAAATAAGAATGGCACTGACTATCATGTGTATTGGCTGCCAGTTTAAAAACTACCTATTTGTCCAGGTGTTTGGATGTGTTGTTGTTGCTTCTAATGAAATTTGACAACTTTTATTGCTGTTTACTTTTTTATAGTGTGTGTGTGTGTGTGTGTGTGTGTGTGTGTGTGTGTGTGTGTGTTAAATGCTTTAACATTGCAACCTGCTATTGGATGCCTTTTTGGTTATGAAGAACAGGCTATGCATATTTTAAAGAAAAGTATTTTTTCAAAGGCCCATTTTCCCGCAGTAGTATCTGGGATTGGTAAAGAGACTAAATTTGTGCAATTGACCTGAGAGATGCAATAATAAGCTTTCAAATATTATGCCCGCAGGGCTTTTGGGAGAGCCTTTCTATATCAAATGCGAAGGCAAACATGCTGATGCAATTCTATTAAATGCACAGTGTTCTTCATACTTCCCATCCAGCAATTTTTAGTCAGAGCAGTGCTCCCACAAGGCAAGCATGACTATTGCTAATTTGCACATAAACAGAGGTACAGATTATTCCCATATGCAAGCACACTCACCTGAATGAAAATCATAATGCACAAAGCATCCCCAAGGGATCCTTGAGAAATGTGGATGCAAATTGTTTGCAGTGTCCTCACAGGTACTATATTGAGCCTAGCAACTTCCACATACGTTCTTAAGGAGTAAATCCTGTTGATTATAATGACTCTCATTCCCAAGCAAGTGTGTACAACATGTCTGAAAGCGCACCTGCACAGTGCTTAACAGTGTGCAGGTAGTCGCAGATGTTGCATGTCTTGACTCCTTTTGCACTAGAGGCTCCAGCCTGCACTAGCCCCCTGTCAGGATCAGTGCAGATTGCATAGCCTGTACAGCTGCTTTTCTGTAGCTCATTCACCCAGGTGCAATGGCTGTTGCCTTATTGGCATGATATATTCCATCCAAAGCATGCAAAAAGCTGTCAAAACCCTGAAATGAATTGGGCCTGGTGTCAGGAAACAACCCTGATACTTTATACCACTTTCTGTTGAATGGTCACTTTAAAATGTGAAGGTTCATTATTGTTTCACAAGTTGTGTATGTCTTTAAGGGCCAGGGCAAATAACGAGACCCAGTCTTACAGCTGTGAAACATAGCAGGTGCTGCTGAGTTGTGTTAATCAAGCTGTGTCAGCAATTGGGTATAGTATATAAGGGGCAGCACCTAGCTCTCTCACCACCCTGGGGGATGGGTTGGTGTTTGGGTCATGTTTGTTGTTGTTATCTTTAGTGCAAAAGGAGTTTTTGTTTTGTTATTAAAACCATGTTAAAGTTATTTTTGAGTTCCTTGTGATGCATGATCTCCCCAGCAAGCTCTCTGCAGCACTACTAAACTGCAAATAGCCAACACTTTCCACCCCAAAAAAGTTTCAACTGTTCATTAAGGTAGCAACCCTGCATCATGTGCCCCTTGTGCAAGTCTCACTGACTCCAGGGGGATTTATGCAGATGTGACTTGTCACACTGGTAGTCTTGAGGGGTCTGCTTCATTGTGTGTTAATAGCAACAGGAGTCTGTCAGGAGTTTTCAATAGGCCCTGGATCTGGCCCTGAGCTACCAGCCAAAAGTGCAGTCATCCTTTCAGATATTTCATTTTCCTAATGTGCTGTGAAATATGCGGAACCAGGGACTGTGTGGGCCGAGCATTTTCACATCCTGCAGCCTTAATGTAAACAGCATGTGGCAGATGGAGGGTTGAGTGTGGAAACTAATGTAGAGCTATTTCACCTAATACAGGCCCACTTTCCCCCCTTCAGTCTGGAAGAGAAACATGAGATGCTGATGTCCATCTCTCCCCAGGCTAAGTGCAATTTCTATTCAGTTTTAACACCCCACTCCTTTCTCCTGCTTTGCTAAATGATATACCAGAAGGTAAATTTTATCATGTAAATTTTCAACAGTTATACAGAGACAACTAAATCATGGGCAGATGTGATTTTTTTTGCAGAAGCTGTCGGTTTCAGAAAATTGTTCCAAAAATGGAAAGGGAAGTTGATTGTAGGCCAGGCCAGAGTTCAACGTAAGGCATGAATACACTATTAGGCTGAAATCCTACACATAATTGCCTGGAACGAAGTCTCATTAAACTCAATGGGGCTTACTTCCAAGTAGACATGCATGGGATTACGCTGTGCCAGAGTTGAGCATGGCTGTGGCGAGGAAGGAATGCATGGCCATAGCAGTCATCTGTGGCGTGTAAATCCTAGCTTAGGAAGCCATGGGAAAAGGTTTAAATTTAGCCTATGTATTCTAGTTTCTAGTGCTACGAGTTTCATGTGCAGAGCTAGGAAGACAGGAACAGCTGTGCAGTCTCAGCGCATGGGTGAGATGAGGCTTCTGAATTTGTTATAAACCGGGGGATATTTTGAGACATGCTGGATTTGTACAAACAGGGGGTGGGTTCCACTTGAACCAGTATATAGCACCAGACTGTTGTCACTTAAAATCTGAAAGCTGGCAGAGCAGCTGTAAAACTGATTGTCAGGGGAATTAGACAAATTTGTGAATAAGGCAAATCCATGGAGGATGAGCTTCTCAGTGTCTGTTATGATGGTTATGTTTTCCTTCCACATTATGCCTGGGAATCGCAGGTGAGGAGAGCGCTGTTGCGCTCAGATCCTGCCTGAGGATCTTCCCTTGGGCATCTGGTTGGCCATTGTGAGAACAGGATACCAGACTAGATGGGCCACTGGCCTGTTCAAGCAGGGCTCTTCTTATGTTCTTAAATCATGCAGTGGGGGGGGGGGGGCCTCACACAGCAATTTATTTTTATGAAATAAAAATCCTGCTTCTTTTTGAAGCTACACAGTAAGAGGTGGAAAACACCTGACGGGATGCACAAATGGGGCACCTTAAGATTTGAGATGAGGTCAGGGGCTGTAGGTTCGTCTCCTGCTTACAACAGTACAGGTGCACATCTGTTGGCCTCTGTGCATCACTGACGTGAATGGAGAATGTTTTGTGAACAAAGCAGCTCCAGATGTGCATTGAAGGCCCAGCACCTGCCAGACCTGAAGTCTAAATGCAAGAGTGGGTGTTTTGATTGCAAGGAAATATATCTTTTTGTGAAAGAGCTTTTCTTCCCAAACCAGCTGTTCCCAATCTTGTAACTTTCTCAGTTCATGTGTAGCCATTTGACTTATTTTCATTTGCAAATGGTGGCAGGCTAAGGTTTAGGCATCATGTGAGCAGCAGCGGTGGGGAAAGCTCAGGCCCAGGTGCCAAATGCAGCCTTCTCTATGCAGACTTCAGCACTCTGCCTAGACCAAGGCTGGATCTACACTGATCTGTAAAAACGCTATTGAAAATAATGTTAACCATCATTATATATTGCTCAATGCATTTTTTCATTGCCAGTGACTTGCAGCTCTGCAACGCCCTCTGGTGTCACATTTTTTAAAATTCTTTATTGATTAAAAATTTACATATCTATACAAACATTATATGCTATCTCTTTACATATGAAGAAAAAGAAAATTATGTAGAGAATAGAAAATTTCTAAAGGAACAAAAAAGAGGAAAAGAAAAAAATAAAGAAATAAAGATACGAAGTAAAAAAAATCAAAAGAGGAAAAGAAAAGACAAGACAACATTATTTACACAATAAAAGTGTTCATCGACACAATCCTTCCCATCCTTCTCATTATACTGTAATATAAACATTCTTTTTAACACAGATTTGTGTTGTATAATATAATTTCTTTCTACTTTGTATATATTCCTCTAATCGTTTTCTTTACAAATATCACTCAATTTCTGCTAATATGGAATTATTTGTACAATAAAGTTTTACATAGTTCTTGAATATTATCCACTCTCTACTTGTTTTTTGTTTCGATGTTCCTCTAACTGATCCCGTCAGTTTTGCTAATTGTAGATATTCTAACATAAGTATCTGCCAGTCAGTAATCTCTGGAAGCGTGTCATTCTTCCAGTTCCTTGCTACAAGGATTCTAGCTGCTGTTAGACCGTACATAAACAATGTTCTTATTTCTTTTTTAATTTCTGGTGGTAACATTTCTAACGTTATAACCGACCAGTGTAGATTGGTCCCAAGCCTCCCTCTGCCCCAGGCCACACTTCCTACCAGCCCTCCACCGCTCCTTCCTTGAGTGCTTTTGTCTGTCTCAGATGTGTCTGTACTGATGCCTCTTGCTTGCCCAAGTGGAGGAAGGAGCGAAATGTGTATGGAGTGTGTGCATGTAGAAATAACTGGATTTTGCATGGCTGAAATGCAGCCAGTGGTGCAAAGGTAAGAATCATAGAATTGTAGAGTTGGAAAGGACAATCTAGTCTAGTCCACGGTAATGCAGGAATCTTTTTGCCCAACATGGACCTCAGACCCACGACCCTGAGATTAAGAGTCTCATATTCTACCAACTGAGCAGAGTCACACATCCCACGCCCTTCCCATGTTTGGCTCTGCCCCCACCCACTTTCTCCTCTGCCCCCATCTACCACTAGCATGTGAACCTCAGAAGGATGTTGACGGGGGAATGTGGCTTTTCTGCTGATGGTGGTTCTCCATCCCTGGTTCACGTTGACAGATGAGTTATGCAGACCAATCTGAACAGAGGAAAGAGGCATTTTCAGCTATATCCTCTATCCTGCCAGTTCCTCTTCCCTCTGTAGCTTGCCTGATTAACATTGGCATAAGCGACCTCATACTCCCCATATCAGAATTGGTCCCTGCGTGATGTGCTGTCTGTTCCACAGTTAATTTGTCAACTACTGTAACCGTCCAGCTTTCCCATGATGGATATTTTAATTCCCCCAAGGCCCTCTTCACTCTGTGTGTGTGTGTGTTTGTTCTAACACACTGGATTATGCTCAGGTATCTTTTCTAGCTTGTTAACGCTTTACTAATTGACTGAAAACCACTTTTCAGCTTGTGGTGTTTGTTTATAAAGCAGGGGCTCAATTAAATGCCAGGCCTAATGCAGACAATATAACACCCCTGAGTGCCATTCTCAGCTACACTGTTGCATAGCGTTTTATGGAAATATGTAAAGTGTTATTATGGCACACAGGTCTTTTCTATAATGCCTTATCATAACATCCCCTTTCTTAATAAAATATGCTCCTTCCCCACCCCCCACTCCTGGATATGCTGGTGCAAATTCTTGCTTTTTTCCAGTTGGATTTAAACAGGTAGCTGGCATAAGCAGCATCTGTTGTTGTTGCTGTCTATGCCAAATGATTACCAGTGTGCAAAGCAGTTATCGGGAATAAGTGTATATGGAGGAATATGGTTGCTATTTCTGTTTGTCTTGCAGTGAATGTAGCACTGAATGCAGTCTCCTGTACTACTCAAACACTGACCACTACCCTACCTACCTTAATACTTCAAACAAAGAGTGGTATATAAATTTAATAAAGAATAATAATTCACAAGGGAAAGAACAATTAATCTGATGACTCCAGCTCTCGAGCAGAAGATGAAATATATAGCCAGTTCCATTCACCCTTAGAAGGCTAAAATTCTAATAATAGGATTCTTGCTTTTGAGTAAAACATACTTAGGTTCTGGGCCATGAAGGCATAGCAGCTTCTGAGCCACTATGTCGACTGCAACTCTGTTTCTAAATGGCGTGGGCTGAAACCAACATTTCTTTCCACTTCGGGAAATTTGAGATCAAAACTCCATTTCATATCATTATTAGCCTTCATAAATCTTAACCTTGGCTACAGCTTTATATCTGATTCCATAGAAGTTGGTCTCTCAAAGCACCTTAACAGATTATGTCTGGTGTCACTTTAAAATATCAGGTTTCTGAAAAGGAAATGGATATCTTGCAGATGTCTTGAAGCCTTTTCTCATATCCATTTACTGCAATGTTAATATTGCTCAAAGCATTAGGAGGTGTGTGGGTGTGTGTACTCATATTAACTAGTGGGCCTATTTCTGACATGCCTTATTTGTGCCAAATTTCTGTGTAATCCATTGACGTTACCTTTCTGAAAAGAGATGCAACCGCGTTCTGAATTTGGCCCACACTTCAGCGGGTATTTCCCCTCCACCTTAGAAGCACAGGAGCATAGGACTTCCGGGGTGGCGCCATCGGCAATGGCGGACTCCCTCTGAACTGGAGGGACTAGCTCCGCGTGAAATGGGTCTTCTCCGCTACGGCGAAGCGGGCACCCTTTTAAAAATCACAGGCGGATGAAGCCTGTGACCATGGGACTCGGCGGGCACCCTTAGCGCCCCCCCCAACTCGCAAAGCAACCCACTAACGGGCTCCGAAGTGAAGAGGGGGAAGTGGCGCGGTGCTGTGAGTCAACTGCTATTTCCGTGGAGCGAAGCCGCATAGCCGTTGCCGGAGAGCGCTGCCTTTTTCCTGGGACAATTTGGATTCTAAAATAAGCACCCGTGAGTACTTAAACTTTGAACAACTGGACCTTAAATAAGGACTTGCGAGCAGAAAGGAATTGGATTTAAAAATTTATTTCAATTTGGTACTGAACGGGAAGGTCTAAACAGGAAGTCAGCCTTCCGTTCTTTTGTAGACAGAATAAAGCAAAGACAACGTAAACTAGAGCTCAGAAAATCGCCTTTAAAGGATTGGACTTCACCATTAAAAATTGTGGAACCCCCCTTCGACAGCAGGAGAAGAAGGGGGGTCTTTCTCGGACTGTTTAAAGTGAGTTTAAAGTAAAGTAACTTTTCACCGTCCTGATCCTGGAGCGAGGTGTCAGGACTGACGTTTGAAGCTCATTGACCAGAGACAAACGTTTTTGACAGATAGCTAAAAGAAGAGAAACATAGTGATTCCACTGTTTCCCTTCGCATTTTAAAGGAACAAATATTGACAAAATATCTCAAAAAGGAAAACTTTGTTGCAAGAACAAATAGAAGTTTTCCCCTAGAGGGAGACTGTGAAACTGTAACCAATTCCAGGGAGCCGGCAGCTGTTACAGATTACAATCGTGGGAATAGACATTTGACCTTGCAGGACAATGTATTCAGAAGCTCTGTTGTGTGCTTTCTATAAAACAAATGCCCTACTGGAACAGTTACATGAGAAGATGAATTTGATGGCGACTTCGACTAGAAATTTTGAACAGGCAGTGGGAAATTTTGAACAGACAGTGGGAAAATATGTGGAGCCCACCCAGGAATTAAATCAGGAGTGTGTCCTGACAGAACAGGCCCAACAGGAATATGAGCTTTGGACTTGACAAATGAACTTGGAAAAAGCCAGATTTGGAAAGAAAAAGTTTGGTTTGGCTTGGAAATGGGGGGCTGGATTGATCCCCCTATGCTGGGATGTTTGGACTTTTCAAATCTGGCAATGGGCCGTGAGATGTTTGGGATTATGGGGGCTCTTAATTTTGGAGGATTTTTGAAACATGTTTTTAAATACCACATGGAATTTAGTGTTGAATATGGAAAAGGGGCTGATCTGTCAAGAAGGGTCAAAAATATTGCCAAGCTGGAGTTACCACGAGCAGGAGACAAGGGAAAATACAGTTACAAATATGAAGAAGAGCTGCGGAAGGGACATGGAAGAGACTTGAGGGCCTCGGATATAAGGTTGCCAGGTTAATGCGCTAGATCGATGGGATAATAAGGACTGACAAAACCCGGGACCAGGAGGAAGGGACGCTGGATGAAGATTGGATATGTTTGTATTTCTTTTTTTTTACTATTATGACTGTTTTATAAAATTGATGAATGTTAGAAAAATGTTGGAATGAAATTACTCGGCTTTAGTAAAGATGTTTAAAGAATTATGAAAGAATATTATGGTTATGAGAAGTTGGTAAGGATAAGATTTAAGCTTTAAGTTTCGAGGTCTTTTTTATATATAGAAAGATAAGATTAAAACAGTTTAAGGTAATGTAATGACAGAATATTATGAAATATGGAAAGGATTTGCTGGGATAATTAATAACTAGGATACAAAGAAAGGGAGGAGGAGGAGGTCAAAGAAAGAAGGTAATGACAGTTGAGGATTTGAGAATAATGAATTTGTTTTTAAATGTTCTTAAATGTCTGTGGTGTATTTTTGTTTTTTCTGTTTTTTTCCCTTATTTTGAATTTGTATTCGTATTGTTGGAAGTGGTTTGTTTTTCCCCTTTTCTACTTTGGTAACCATTTTTATTTTGTATTTTCTTCTTTTTTTATTTTTATTTTGTAACATTTTGAAAATCTCAATAAATATCTTATAAAAAAAAAAAAGAAGCACAGGAGCATAGGAACAGCTTCCTCATACCAAGGCAAACTGTTGGTCCTTCTAGCTCAGTTCTGTCTTCACTGATTGACAACAGCTCTCCAGGGTTTCAGGCAAGAGTCTTTACCAACCCTGCCCGCAGATTCCAGTGGTCATTGAACCCGGGATCTTCTGCTTGCAAGGCTGATGCTCTACCGCAGAGTATAAAGTTTAAATGCTATCAACTTCGTGTGTCAACTCATTATTCCGCTTGAAAGCTTCTAAGTTTTGGAAATGGAGATGAGATTATTTTTTTCCAGTTTGATTAAGGATTGTTTTTCCTTTGTGCTACACACTAATGGTTAATCATATTCAGAAAGTATAGTTGTTTAGACATTATACTTCCAGGTGATTTTTAACTGGCTGCCATTTGCAAATATTAGTACAACTGTTATGTAAATGATCTCAGCATGCAAAAATTCACCTGTATGGTAATTAAATTAAATATGATTAGCTCAGAGCACTAATGAATACTCTCTCATTTTAATTTTTATCCTCAGAACATTTTTTGGGGGAAATTAGCACAGCAAATCACACTTTCCTTTTTTTACTGCGTCATTTATTTCCTATTTAACCTAGACTAGGGCAGTCTAGCTTTGCATGCCAAGTGGGCTGCACATATCCTTACTAAAGCTAAATAAGCAAGGCAACGGGCTTTGGGAAGAGGATGCAAGGCTCTGGCAAGGTCCTAGAACTCTCCCACCTCCTTCCCAAAGCTGGGAAAGCACTAATTAAGCTTTGGGAAGGAGGCTGGGGGATGTAAGGACCCTTTCAGAACCCTCATGCCTCCTTCCCAAAGCTCAGCAACCTCGCTTACCCAGCTTTGGGAAGGCAGCATGTGTCTGTGGAGGGCATCAAATGTTGCTGAGGACCAGGAAAAATGGCCTTGAGGGCTGCAAGTGGACTTCAGGCCATGTGTTGGACCACCCTAGCCTAGACCATAACTCCGTGACTCTGTGGTGTTAAGCTACGCATCATGCCAATCTCATGGTTTTCCCTCACATGCAGTGCTTATCTTACAGCCAGGTACAGGGAGGCTGGTTCAGAATGGAACCCTTGTGGGTGGGGTTTGGGGTCTTTAACACCTTTGTTCTCCACTACAATCCCAATCTATTGCTGGGGCAGAGGGAACTTTCCCGACCATAATACAGTTGGAATGATATCAGGATTGCACTTAGACTGC